TTCCTGCAGCCGGAACTCCCTCCTTGACTTGGTCTGGCAAGCTTCAGCCCTCCCCTTCATGTCCTTCCTGAAAATGAATTTCCTCCAAAAAGCCTATAAACCTACCTGCAGAGAGAGGCGTTAACATGTTAGCTGAAAACCCAAAACATTACATTTAAACAAATTGAAGGGTGACACTCTCCTGCCTCCTCTTGATTCCACAATCTCCCTGTTTTCTGCTCTCTATTCCTTTTATATTTTTTGTCCATTCAAATTGTAAGGTCTTTAGAGTGCAGAACCTGTGTACACTATGTTGGCACTAAACTGTGTGTGTGTGTGTGTGTGTGTGTGTTCACACACACACAGTTTAGTGCCATCAGCTGAAAATAAAATCGGATATTTCAATCATGAGATGTTCATGGGATGGGTAAGAAAAGTAGAAGTAAGCATGTACATGTTCTGTTGTAGTCAAACAGCAGTTGACTGTGTGTGTATATATTTGTGTATATAACTTGCCAGCAAGTTAAAGAACTATGGGCTGGATGAATGGACTATAAGGTGGATAGAAAGCTGGCTAGATTGTCGGGCTCAACGGGTAGTGATCAATGGCTCCATGTCTAGTTGGCAGCTGGTATCAAGCAGAGTGCCCCAAGGGTCGGTCCTGCGGTCGGTTTTGTTCAATAACTTCATTAATGATCTGGAGGATGGCGTGGACTGCACTCTCAGCAAGTTTGCAGATGACACTAAACTGGGAGGAGTGGTAGATATGCTGGAGGGTAGGGATAGGATTCAGAGGGACCTAGAGAAATTAGAGGATTGGGCCAAAAGAAACCTGATGAGGTTCAACAAGGACAAGTGCAGAGTCCTGCACTTAGGATGGAAGAATCCCATGCACTGCTACAGACTAGGGACCGAGTGGCTAGGCAGCAGTTCTGCAGAAAAGGACCTAGGGGTTATAGTAGACGAGAAGCTGGATATGAGTCGACAGTGTGCTCTTGTTGCCAAAAAGGCTAATGGCATTTTGGGCTGTGTAAGTAGAGGCATTGCCAGCAGATCGAGGGACGTGATCATTCCCCTCTATTTGACATTGCTGAGGCCTCATCTGGAGTACTGTGTCCAGTTTTGGGCCCTACACTACAAGAAGGATGTGGAAAAATTGGAAAGAGTCCAGCGGAGGGCAACAAAAATGATTAGGGGGCTGGAACACATGACTTATGAGGAGAGGCTGAGGGAACTGGGATTGTTTAGTCTGCAGAAGGGGAGACTGAGGGGGGATTTGATAGCTGCTTTCAACTACCTGAAAGGGGGTTCCAAAGAGGATGGATGTAGACTGTTCTCAGTGGTAGCAGATGACAGAACACGGAGTAATGGTCTCAAGTTTCAGTGGGGGAGGTTTAGGTTGGATATTAGGAAAAACTTTTTCACTAGGAGGGTGGTGAAGCACTGGAATGGGTTACCTAGGGAGGTGGTCAGGCTTGACAAAGCCCTGGCTGGGATGATTTAGATGGGAATTGGTCCTGCTTTGAGCAGGGGTTTGGACTAGATGACGACCTGAGGTCCCGTCCAACCCTGATATTCTATGATTCTAAATCTCCGCTGGTTATTTCCATTAGTAGAAATTTCATTAAAGAAACTGGTTTATGAGCAGGGCTTTGGAGCTGTGCTCCAGCTCCGCTCCAGCTCCAGGCAAAAACCTGCAGCTCTGCTGTTCCGGAGCTGCTCCAGCTCCAGCTCCGGGCTCCGCTCCAAAGCCCTGTTTACGAGTAAAATCAACCTTGCAACTGATATGTGGATTTATTCTAATCCATATATGAAACCTATTTGGTGCCAATAGTGGTATTTCAATCTTTAGGGGAAAGCAATATTGTTCTCTGAAGTCTGGAGAGTCCATGCTGCCAGCTCTCCTCACCTCAATGAGAGCCTCCTCTGCGTTGGGGAAAGCAAAGCACAATAGACTAACTTACCAGGAAATATCTTTGGAGAAAAAGGCAATTTCAGGTCAAATAACTGAACAATTCTGAAGAACTTCCTAACACCATGCAGTCATTGCTGAGGGAAAATGATATATGAGTGATAAAAAATGCAATTCAAGTTAATCATCTCTTTCTGTTTAGTGAATGTAACACCTGAGCAATCGACTCAAGAGGAGGATGCCTGCAGCTGCCGCTTTCCAGAGGAAGAACAAGGAGACTGTGATGACTGTAGCAAATCCAAACTATTCAGGGATTCCTTGGTGCATTAGAAACTGGACTTTCTAAGGAAGCCAATTGTGGTTTCCTTTCCTTTGAGAGCACAGGACAGGAGCCTGGTTACATAATTGGGGAGGGGGGGGAGTAGATGCAGGTTAAGTGAATTTTAAAACTTATGGACTGAACAATGCAGTCGGTGGTGGATGAAGCAGGTCTTTCTCAGTACATCACTGTCCTACAGACAGAAGAGTTGGTCCTTTATTTAAAAACAAAAACCTCTTTAAAAATTAACCCTTGCCAACATCTCAAATTCTAACGAAACTCTCAGGGCAGTATCTTTAAAATGAAAGCAAACTTGCTAACTTTTTTTCATATGCTGGGACTAATATTTCTAATATATTATGATTTGCCCTAGAGACTAAAAAGCATCAATAAGACAGGAACCACAAGCCAGACTGGTCTTCTGTTACCTCTAGTAGGAGATGCCTATGCTATAGCTTACTTATTTCAAGTTTGGGAGTGAGAATAATGTTCCTGAAGACTAAACACTGACTACAGCTAGGTACAGTACAGGCAGCCAGCATACAAGCTTCCACCCCTTTGCTCTTTTCATGTCTGGAACTATAGCCCCTCCTAATTCGTGCTCAGCTATCACACTAATGGGTGTGGTATAAAATCCTAGACCGATACTATTTCAACTCCCAGAATGAACTTTCCTATTCCAGTTTAGTTAGAAGTTAAAAGGAATATGGTAAGTCAGGGTTGTCAAATGCCTCAGAACACCTTTTCGGTGCTTTCCAAATAGCTGTTGCATTGATTGGCTTTGTAGTTGGAGTGGCAACACCGGGGCCACCCCAAGTACCGCCCCTGCAACTCCCATTGGCCAATGGGAGCTGCAGAGGCGGCACCTGTCTGTGTAGAAGCTGGAGGGGGGACATGCTGCTGCTTCTGGAAGCTGCTTGAGGTAAGCACCACCTGGAGTCTGTACCCCCGCCCCAGCCCCTCCTGCCCTCTGAACCCCTTGGTCCAAGCCTGGAGCACCCTCCTGCACCCCAAACTCTCATCCCCAGACCCACCCCAGAGCCCTCCTCCCTCCCCTCCCCCAATCCCCTCCCCCAGCCCAGAGCCCCTTCCCACACACTGAACTCCTCATTGCTGGACCCACCACAGACCCTGCACCCCCAGCCAGAGCCCTCATCCCCTCCCGCACCCCAACCCCAATTTCGTGAGCATTCATGGCCCGCCATACAATTTCCATATCCAGACACGGCCCTTGGGCCAAAAAATTTGCCCACCCCTCGGATACACTGTGACAAGTTAATTTGATCTAAGACCATGTAATTAGTGCAACTGGACTGTATCATCCTTTTGATCTTAAAATATTACCCTCTGATTTTTGGATATGTTAAATACGGTACATACATTGCAGGTACAGTACATGTAAAATATAACTTACTATGTTGCTAATTTCATAGGTAGAACTATGAGGTTAGAAATACACTTTCTGACATGAAAATATCTGCCTTGATCGGTCACTATTGCTTTTAATTTGAATAAGAATGGGAATGTGTATGTTTGAGTCGTGGCATTGGCAGTGATAGTTGTACCCTTTTACAGCACTATAAATGTATATTATATTTTATCATTAAGTGTTATTCAAAAATATAATGAAAGTCAACATGTCATGTAAAGAGTGGTTTTGGTGGGTGTGTTTTTTAAACTAGGCAAGGTACATTCCTTCTAGCAGATGAATGAGAGCCCAGTCACTCTCTCCATGCAACATAAGCCTTATGTAGCAGTAATTTTTTACCAAACTCATGCTTGCTGGTTTTGATTAAATTTGTATATAATTGATTACAAAGCAAAATGTAAGAAAAGAAGAGTGGGGAACTGTAGCCCTGCCTGTAAAGTTACATATTTACATTTATTTAAATAAGATTTAAAAAAAAAAATAAAGTAAAACTTTTCCTACATTTTTTTCTCCTCTCAATTAATGTGTTTTCAAACAGGAGAATGAGTGACCCTTACATAAAGTAATATTTGCAAGTTTTAAGATGTAATGATCAAGGAGGGTGGTCGGTTTTTTCACTATTTATAAATGAACATTTGGTTCTTGTAAGAAGTTCAGAATGTCACAGATTACCCTGTGATCAGTTTCTAATCTAGAACCTCAGCAGTGGTATTTTCCCTGAAAACACTTGCAGCAGTTGGAGTTTCACTCTCAGACGGAATCTGCATATCTTCAGGAACTTGAAATTCTTATTCCCTTTTCCTTTCCTTCCCTGCACACACACTACAGTACTTTTTCCAATCTGTTTGATGGATTGATTTTTGGAGACAAGGTGGGTGGGGTAATATCTTTTATTGGACCAACTTCTGTTGGTGAGAGAGAATCTTTTGGGCTCACAGAGCTCATTTCCACGTATGATTGATTTGGCATTAATGACATTTACTTCTCACACCTAATTTGTGTCCTGTATGTTATGCTGAGCATTTAAGCTCCATATAAAATTCCATTGAACTGAAATATAAAGTCCTTGGGGCACATCCTCAGCTAGTAAATTGACTGAACAGGGCTATGACAGTTTAGGGGGCAGATTCAAGTAGAAAGTATTTCTAGGAATAAACATTCATAGAAATTACTTATGCTTACTTTATGTGACATAAGTATTCTTCCAGTAAATTTAAAGGCTAGTATGTGGGGCATTTAGTCAGTCAATTCTGGTGCTATGGAAAAGAATGAAAGCCAGAGCCAATAAAAGAAACAAGTGGCCAAGGAGTTCAGCTGTGAGCCTCTTCGGGCTAACTTCCATTTAAAAAACTGCTATTTTATTTAACTTGGAATATGAAGGGCATAATGCATACATCTACAAGTAAGTTTATAAAAAGAGCTTGAAATACACACTGAAATTAACACATGGTACAAATGCAAAGGAAGGTTCAGAACACTACCAGGGCATTTCCTACAAGGGACACAGTTCTTATTTGCCAACAGAACTGCTGAACAGCAGCCTGTGCTACTGCCTTTTATGGAAGGTGCAAGGAGCAGAAAATGAACACACATGAAAGTGTAAAACTAAAAACATTAGCACCAATTTTAAATAATGTGCTTTGCACTTCAATATGCTCCATGTCAAAAACAACTCTATAGGAAATAAGGTAATCTCAAGTGAATAATGTCTGTAGCAAATCTATTTAACATATCTCAAAACTTTTACAGTATTTGAATTATCAATAGTGATCTGTGAAGTGTCTTTATAAAATATTAAAGTCTTAGCCATGGCCTCATGTACTTCCTAGAACATATTCCAGTAGTACCTGCCTTTACTACGTTCACACTGAATGGCCTGTTCCCACTCTAGATCCCAGATAAGCACATGTTCTTGATGATAAATGGGGGTTGTTCAAAAGCACCATTATTTCACACGTAAACAGTAGACACAGCTGAAAAGCTCCTTTCCCTTGGAGCATGTCAGAAAAGTGTCTGCTGCAGTTTGCAGTATCACATGCAGTCTCCTCAACTTACATCACAGTCTTCAAGAGAAATGTTAAGCTATTGTTCTTTTCAAGTTTAGTTTCTTCAATACTTTCTGGAAAATATTTTCGAGCCATTATTTTCTCCTCTTCTGAAAAAAATGAGATAAGTTTGTCCAAGCAGTTTGAGGAAAATATAATGAGCAATTAGTTCATCCATGTCTAGTCTCACTGCAGCTGTGCTGAAGTCTTAATTCTAACAAAATGAAATAAGGAATTCAGATCTAATCCCATCGGCAGGTAAACAAGTAATATACTGTACAGTTGAATTTCAACTGCAATAGTAGCATCACGGTTTGACTCAATAATTCATGATGGCACATCTAATTGTTTGAAACAATTTGCTCCCTAAAGCTCCTGGAAAAATGTGGCACGCAGACTTTTGGGTTCATCCCTGATTGTATTAACAACAACATGACAAATTACTTCTCTCAGAGTTAAACTTTCATTTAAAACTGAATTTTCATATACAGCAACTATGTCGATAGACTGTCCATTCATTAACACCGAGGAATAGCAACCTCACTGTGCATCCACCTGAGTTCAGTAAAAGGCGCCATCAAAGTAATAAAACCTTGAACAGGGAAGGAATTGCATTATGTAGCTCTAGCCATTGGTAATTAAGCCAGAAAGAAGGAGTCATCATTCAACTCACAGTTATGGCGAAGAAACATATTTTGTTGTTGCTAGAAGAAGTAGGCTGTAGGTGAAGGCTCTAGGATTCACTGCTGCTTACAGCCTTCCTTCTTGTCCCTGGATTTTTGGCATCCTAGCTTTTTAGGCTGACGTTTAGTCGGTGAATAAAGGCAGGTCCGATGGTGGTATCCATATAATCAAAGAGGCCATCAACTGGGACAGTGTGTGACTGGGCAGCTGCACAAAGAAGGAATCGAATGAATAACTCCAGCTGTAGTAGAAATGGCAGGAGGACTAAGCTGAGTCACTAGGTGTCAGGGGTTACAGGTGTAAATTCCTCATTTAAAAAGTGTTATTGGAAAGAATGGGAGAGATTCCAAGACCAGAAGGCGACCACTATGATCATCTAGTCTGAGCTCCTGTGCAACACAGAACTAACCCCAAATCATTTCTACAGCATATCTTTTAGAAAAACATCCAATCTTGGTTTAAAAATTGCCAGTGAGGGAGTATCCACCATGACCCTTCATAAATTGTTCCAATGGTTAATTATGCTGTTAAAATTTATACTTTATTTTTCGATCTGAATTTTTTCTAGCTTCAACTTCTATTGGCACATGTCGTAATACCTTTCTCTGGTAGACCGAAAAGCCCATTATTAAATATTTGTTCCCCTTGTAGGAACCTATAAATTGTAATTAAGTCACACCTTAACCTTCTCTTTGTTAAGCTAAATAGAATTGAGCTCTTTGCGTCTATCGCTATAAGGCATGTTTTCTAACCCTTGAAATCATTCTTGTGGCTCTTCTCTGATCCCTCTCCAAATTTATCAACATCCTTCTTGAATTAACGACACCAGAACTGAATCTAGTATTCCTGCAGTGATCACACTAGGGCCCAATACTGAGGTAAAATAACCTCTCAACGCCTACTCAAGAGTCCCCTGTTTACACATCTCAGGATTGCATTAGCTCTTTTGGCCACAGCATTGAATTCATTTTCAGCTGATTATCCACCACAGCCCACACATCATTTTCAGAGTCACTGCTTCCCAGGGTAGAGTCCTCCCCGTTCTGTAAGTATGGCCTACATTCTTTATTCCTAAATATACACATTTACCTTTAATCATATTAAAACAGATATTGTTTGCTTGCACAGTTTACCAAGTCACCTATCCTCTTTATCACTCCTCCTATTTTTGTCAAGTCATTGTTTACAGGCAGAGTTCCTGTTACCCCATATATAATTTCTTCAAATTTGCCAAATGTACATTAGCAATTCAGTGCTGATGAGGAACTCTATCATAAGAGACCTGTGAGCATGGACTTTGTACATAAGTGGACCTACCACAAACTATGGCACTTGTGGGATATTGGGACATTAGATTAATGAGGGCTCAGATTTCACTTTATACAGGTAATAGAAAAAAATTGAAAATATCAGAGAGAGACTCCAACACCACAGCTGCATGGACTGGAATGTGAGAGGACAGATGGTTTTATTAAGCATTAGCTTATGGAGCGAAGCATAGCTAGGTATTATTACCTTGGGAGCAGAATGCAAACACTTCAGCAGGTGGTTCTTTTTTGACTTAAAAGTTGGGTCCAGATCTTCAACAGTATTTCGAGGAAACTATTGCCTGTGGAAACGTTGAATGTTACAGCAGATTTACATACTTTTGCCTTTTTATTTGCATCTTTAGGATTTCATATTTGTAAGTTTTCTTCTTCAAATGTCTGAAGACAGTTTCTGAGCTTACATGTTTACAGAACTAAGACAGCTAGTCATTTCTTATCTGGGCAACCTTGATCTGAAACTTGTACTGTTCCATTTCAGTCCTCTCTTACAGCAAGAGTAACTCTTACTCCCACCTCATACCTCCTAGAACATCATTCAGGGGTATCTTATTACCATGCCCTATGTATGTCCCTATTAGTGCATTCAGGTTGTTTTGTGGTGGGTTATAATATAGATTAATTTGTTTAAGGTAAACTTTGCTGATTCAGAATTCAGAAGCGTCTCCTGAAATTGGAATGCAGGTATATCAAGATTTGGATTTGTCCCCTAACAACATTCAGATGGAGTTTACAAGAACACATTTCAGCTTCAACTTTAAGTATTGGACACATTGTAGCATGTATTTCTTGTTCTTTTATCTACGTTGAGTGACTGATATATCAACATTTTACATTAGCTTAAATAGGGAAAGTACTAGGAAAATCGTTGAATATCTTGGATCTTTATTTCCTCAAACTGCCCTTTGAACTGTTATGAACCTGAGATCCCATTACATGAAAAGAGACCACGGTAGAGAGAGAGCATTTAACTAGCTGGAAAATAACTTCTGCACAAGGCTCTAAAACTTTACTCCCTCACAAGTATACAAGGCCCTAAAATAGTCCAGAATATATACATATAAGAGATTACTAGTCTGCATAAAGACACCTACTTTGTTCTGTCTATGCTGCCTCCTTGTGTTGGGAAGTCTGACCTTTCCAGGGTCTGACCTCTGACTGGGGATCCAGGTACCTCAGCATCTAGCCATATCTCTTTATATTAAGACCATAACAAGAGTTTATGCTGACTTGATCCAGAAGACAGAAGACAGACAGGCAGCTCTGTGGTGTACACTGACCAAGGAGGAAGGTTATTAAGATCTATAGTGAGACCAAGCTTGAATAATTAGGAACACACCATTGTATTTGAATTGTAACCTGCCAACACTTCTAAGGTAAGCTTTTGACCCTATGTTACTTATACTGTGTTTTATAAATGTTAGCTAATTAATCGTCATGACATCCCAGTGAGAGATGGATTATTATCCCCATTTTATAGCTGGTGGAATGGATACTAAGAGGTTCAAGACTTGTCTCACACCACACAGCAAGTCAGCAGCCCATGAAACCATGCTGCCTCCCTGATGAGCCAAAGGCTGAGAGCTAGCAAATAATTTCATTTCAGCCACATTTGTTACTTCTGATGTACTGGAAAAATGTCAGTGTTACTGAGTCCCTTGGGATACCCCAAACAGCAGCACAGTACAATAAGTAGAGGCACTGGTGCAAACTGACTTTTGTGCTAATGATACTCCTTCCCTTCTGCCACACAGTTGTATGACTTGGCTTCTGTTATTCAAAAGGCAAAGTATCATAAGCACATGCTACCCCAGATCCAAAAGTGCATCATTCCCAGGAGCAAACCATGGTCAGCACTGGCATGTGGCATACGTTCTGTCTGTCCATTTTAGATCACATGGCTACCCACAGCAATGCCCGGGACAATCCCCTGGATGCTCAGGGTAGACACTCCTTGTCCTGTGCCGCATTTGGCTGTCAGCATTATAGTTTCATTTTTTATTCAGACACAAGGTGGGTGAAGTAATATCTTGTATTGGACCAACTTCATTTGTTATTTATTCATTTAAGGAAGTTGTAATTCAGTAGCTGAAATTCACGTTGTCTGATCTCATCCCAAACAAAGCAGGGAATAGGGAAAGATCCCCTACCTTTCCCAAGTAATGATACAACAAAGAACAGTTTTTCCTTACAAGGTAAATACTTCATGGGACTTTTCTTGAAATTAACCTTAATGTAATTCAGAGGAATTGCTCAACTCTAATAATGTTAGCAACTTTGCCAGAGACTAAAGGGGTCTGAAAATTCGGAGCTGGTTCTGAATTAAGGCCTCTAAGTTAATTCAAATAAATAGAGTTTACCATTATACTTTAGACAATATTTCTTTCATCCCACAGCTAATGTTAGAATTCATTTCAGCCATTGACTGCATAATGGAAATTGCTGCAGGTTGCTTTACACTGCTGCTCCCTCAATGTGGGTGTTTTGATCCTCTGGTAGGTGTCTGCCCAATAGCACTATGTGATGAAATCTTTCCTTCCGGGGGTGGTATTGCTCAGACCAGTGAGCTTGTTAGCTAACCACCACAGCTAGAGAGCAAGTGTGTGCAAGAGGCTACAAGCACACTCAGCCTTATGATCTCAGCTGCAATCACCTCTCTGTCTACTACCATGATGTCCAAATTAGACCTTTAAATGTTAGGGGTGTTAAACAGCCCTCCCTCTAACCTGAAGGTTATTAGGGTGGCATAGTTCAATGGCTGGCACCAATTTAAGGTTTTAATTTGAAACAGAATTTTTCATGAATAGGAGAATTTGAGTTATCAAAATAAATTTGTAGCCATTAACCAGGCTGAGCAATTCAACTCCTATTCTCTCCTCCAGATCCATGTAAAAAGTGTCCAGGCCTCTACTTATTGAACCAGACAATTAGATGCATGCCACAGCTCAAAGAAACACACACCATTCTTTGCTGCTTCAGTACATCTGGAGAACTTTGAACAGAGATCAGCTGCTTGGATTCCTCACTAGCCCTCAGAGAGAAAAGGGTCAGCAGTAAGCATTACCAGCTCCTCATCTGGCTGAAGTTTCTCTTAATTCCTCGTTTTTTCCTACCCCACTCTCCTGCTGGGTCCCTTCTGCCCAAGTCTTTGGTTCCATCAGCTGATGATATATTCCCATGAGCTCCTTTAGAATAGAACATCACCAATTCTTCCAGTGAATGAAGCACTGAAGCTTGACTCCACTTGGCATGGACAGCACTAGGAGATTATGTGAATTACATCTTTGTGATTACTGTGAACAGCTGTGCTGGTAATTGTGTCAACTGAGCACTGGAGCTGCAAAACCAAAACCAGGGCTTGCCAGAATATGGAGATTGCTTTGTAGGAAATGAAGGGGATTGGTTATTTTATTTTTGAACTGGTGAGGAGCAGAGAAACTTTCAAGCATTTTGCTTATTTTTAATTTATATTTTTCCTATACTAACCTCCACAGCTTGTTTTAATGCCCTGATCTGTCAGGCATCTCCTCTTCTCTGGTCAGTAAGCCCTTAGGGGAATTTTGTTTCCAGCACCTACCTTACAAAAATATTTTTGGGACAGATAGGATAGAACCCTTGTGACAGATTTCCAAGTTATTTTGTTTGCTGTAATTATAAAAGCACAGAGGAATCTATGTACTGTCTTCAGTCTCATTAGCTAGGTCTTCTTGTGACCTGGAATATTTTCTCCAAGTGGTAGATACTTAACATGTTACCTTCTTCTCCTTGCTTCTCCTTGGCTCAGATAAGTTGCTCCCCTCATCACTGTTCTCTGTCCCCAGGTTTGTCTCATGGGATCTCCACTGGGCTTTCAGTTCCTGGTTCTGCATATATCTAGCAATCTCCTGGAGTGTCATGAGACAGCATGTGAGAGAATGTTAGTTCTCACTGAGCACATAAACATGGTTTTAAAGGTTCAGAAGCATCATGGACAGAGATACAGACATGCAAACACTAAGGGATTGTCCTTAACTACTGCCTACAACAGAAAGACAGCGCTGCATCTACCACAGGTCAAGGTGCATTACACAGGATTTCACGGACAGCTATAAAACAAACAAACTTTCTGAAAATCTTCTCACCCCAACAGGAACATGACTTTTCGCATAAAGTCACCAAATTCAGGCTTTGGTGACCCAAGGTGCGAAGTGAGTTATAGGGTCAAGGACTTCTCACTGAGAAACACCCTGCCACTAGTTTGATCCCATTTAAACCAGGAGGCTGTTAGCTTGGATGTCTTGGGCAACTGTAACTACTGGTTTATCACAAGAGGAGGTCTCAGGCAGGTAGGATCCAAACCATTTAGGCCTTTTTAGATCAAAGCCAATAGCATCAAATCAGAAGTCACCTGGCAGCCAGTGCACCTTGCAGAGCTAACGTGTGATGTGCTCTTAGCAGGAAACACATTGCTTAATAAGTGGGGAGCTGATTCTTCACTAGCTGCTACTTCCAACTAGTTTAAGTGTGAAGCCCCATCCAGGCAGCATTGCACCCAACTAGCCTTGAGATGACAAGGCATAAGTAACCATGGTGAGCTCCGGATCTGAAAGGAAAGGACATAACCTGCTTCCCAAGGGCAAATAATCTTATCCACAAACATAAATTCAACTACCATCTCTATGGAGATGACTCACAGATCTACCTCTCTAGCCCAGACTTGTGTCCTTCTCTCCAAACTAAAATCGCAGCCTCTCTGACATCTCCCTGTGGATGTGTAGCCATCAACTCAAACTAAACATGCTAAAACAGAGCTCTTAATTTTCCTCCCCACTTTCTCAATCACTGTGGATAACACCACCATTCCACCAGACACTCAGGCCTGTAACCTCAGTGACATCTTTGATTCAGACCTCTCGCTAGGTCCTCACACCCAGGCTATGTGTAAATCTTGCAGATTCTTTCTGTATGATCTCTCTAAGATACAGCCTTTTCTATCCATCCACACTGCTAAAAACTCTTGTCTAGGCTTTCATCATCTTGTGTCTCAACTACTGCAACATACTTTAATCCTTTTCTCTAGCCTTGACAAATGCAGTCTTGCCCCACTGATATCCATTTGGAATATTGCTGCAATTATCATTTTCCTAGACTGTCACTTTGACCATGTCACCCCTATCTCTGCATCCCTTTACTGGCTCCCTCTTCTCTACTGCATCAAACGTAAGCTGTTTGTCTTCACTTTCAAGACCTTTCACAACCTATCCCCTTCCTAGTTATCATCTCTCAGAGTCAGTTCCTACCTCCAATTGGCCACTATCACTCACTTGTTAAAATTTTCAAACAAGTATCTTTGTTATCTCCCATACTGATTTGTACAATTGGGAGAAGCTCTTGGTAAACACCTGTAAAACTAACTCATCCAACCTTCTTCAAAATCCTCCCTTAACACTCTACTTTGTTGTGAGAGGCCTACAAAAACTTGACAATGGTTAGGCTACTGGTGTGCTGAGAACACTGCCTATCATGCTGACCAATATTGTGTCTCTGTTCCTTGTAGTCCCCAGTCAGTCTGTATCTGTCTGTCTCTTGCCTTAGATTGTAAGCTCTCTGGAGCAGGACCATCTTCTTATTCTGTGTTTGTACAGCGTATAGCACTATGGCAGGGGTGGCCAACCTGAGCCTGAGAAGGAGCCAGAATTTACCAATGTACATTGCCAAAGAGCCACAGTAATACCTCAGCAGCCCCCCCTCTGCTCCCACCCCCCCCAGCACCTCCCACCCACTGGCAGCCCCGCCAATCAGTGCCTCCCACTCTGTCCCTGCACCTCCCAATCAGCTGTTTCGTGGCGTGCAGGAGGCTCGGAGGGAGAGGAGCGAGGGCATGGCAGGCTCAGCGGAGGGGCTGGAAGGGGTGGAGTGGGGGCAGGGCCTGTGGCAGAGCCAGGGGTTGAGCAGTGAGCACCCCCCGGCACATTGGAAAGTTGGCGCCTGTAGTTCCAGCCCTGGAGTCGGTGCCTATAGAAGGAGCCACATATTAACTTCTGAAGAGCCGCATACGGCTCCGGAGCCACAGGTTGGCCACCCCTGCAGTATGGGATCCTGGTCTAGAACTAGGACTCCTAGGTTCTACAATAATACAAAGAATAGATAATAATAAGATATAAGATACTTGGCAACTGCTGCTGCCGGGACATCCAGGAACAAGTTGCATCTCAAGCCAGCACCAGATTTGGGCAACCATTACAAGATTTCACATCTTATTCAAACCCCATTTTACAGTCATAATGTGCTGTGTGTTTTCCCCTATTACTGCAGTTACCACGGGGTCTGGACGTGTGTGTGTGAACTGAGGCTTTCACTTTCCTAATCTCCTGCCTGACTCATCCAGGAAGTGACAGCATGTTACAGGGGCAACATATACGTCTTCAAGGGTTTGGTGCTTATTCGTTCTGATGCCAACAACTGGGCCATGAAGTGGCATTGGCTTTGGAAGCTAAAGAAAGCAGTGAGTTTCCCCTTTTTTGAAGTATTTTTAAGGAAGAGCCACCTCCTTCTTCCACAGTCCTGGAATTTTGCCCTGATATCCGCCACATTATACACACACACTCGGGCCAGGAAGACATTTTCTAACTGCCAAGAAAAACAAATGAGGGAAATGTGAACAGCTTACATCTAGCCTGTTACCTCATCCTGAGCCACCTGGGCTGCTCGATAGTTGTCATTGCGTTCCCGGTTCCTCCTTCCTCTCTGCAGAATAGATTAAAGTTTATTGAGAATCAACAGTAAGAGATACTAGTGGAAAGCAGGCAGCAGCAACAAGTTCTAAGGGGCAAAGACAGCAATCTATGCTATTTCTATGCAAAGTGACTTTTTTTGGTTTTATTAAAAACAAATCTTAATATTCTGAGATGCTGAAGTTATTTTAACCAGTAGCCTGTCAAGGTGGCCTGTATATGGGACTCAAGGGCATGTGAACTTTAGATAATGGAGATAGGATTGTGTGTAGTACACAGTCCCCTAGAAAAATATAATCAAATTAGAACTTCCAATTTGAGAAACACCTCTGCTGAGGTAATGTGCTCCCTTTCTGCCCAAGGTTCACCTACTGCATGAGTCTACTCCTCCTCCTGCAGTCTCCAAGCCAGTTCTTCCTCTTGTAGGAACTGCTCCTGATTCCCAAGTTCTAGTTCTGCCATCTGCCATTTCAGGGGGTTAGTGCTGCAAGGCTGCTGGGGATTCTCATCTGAACAGAACTGCAAAATCACAAGTATCAGACATGATTGAAAGAGACCTGAGGTGGGTCCATCAGAAAAGCAGAGTTGGTCAAAAAGGAAGCTATTGCTAATGGGAATCCCAAGACTTCCCAATCTCAGCATGCTGGATCAAAGAATAATCAACAATGACAAAACTGGGGAAAGGTCCCAAAGAGAAGTAACACAAGTCAACCAGCCTTAGGAAAAATTCTCCCTTCCAAAACAAACACACTATTTGGCTTTCCAAATCTAGCATCTGTTGACTCTCTCAAAAGCTTTTATAAACACAGCGAAACAGGACTGGCCCTCCATCAATCAAGAAGAGCAGAGAGAGAAGCGGTGATGATATTCTTGTTCCTTTAATTAAAGAAAAGGAAGTTTTTGACTTGATTTTCTTCCCTCAGTCTCCACTGAACTCAGTTCCTCAAGACGCTCTGCTTCATTATAGGGTTCCCAAAGCCCAATACACCCCTCTGCTACTGAACATGTGATGACTAAAAGGAAAATCCTGTCACCAAGATCAATTATGCTGTGGAGTTGTCTATCACAGTAAGTGGCAAAAGCATCATCACTTGGTACATTTTAAACAAGACTAGACAAAGAATATACATAGGGAATAATCCTAACATGGCCGAAGGGGAATGGTCTACAAGAGTGTATTAAATGGCATTTTCCGTTTCTAATTCCTGTGATTTGTTGGTGCTGCTGTAATACAAATATATGAATACTAATAAACAGTAAAACTATTATTCCCATTGAGATACACTATTTGCTGGTCAAACTCTTTTACCATTGGGTCTTTGCATGGGTAGCATTAGTTATACTTGTAGGCTGCATTTTCTAATAAGCAATCCCATATAAGGTTAAACTCCAATTCGTCTAATTACTAGTACCTGATCTGAGACCAGGGTTTCCTTTTCTAAAGGGGAGATGTGAGTGACAGACCCTATTTTGGCTCTACTGTGAACATAGCCATCCCTCGGGGAGCACAGTGCCCAGGGCGGAAGTGACGGATTCGTCTCTTCTGGCACCAACCACGCTGGCCAATTGCGCCGGCCTGCAGGGGCCCCCCAAAGTACGGGGCCCAGAGTGATCGCCCCGATTCACCCTACCCAAGAGACGGCTCTGACTGTGAGACCTACCTTCTGTCCCTGGAGCTGTGTTCAGGACAGTCCTCCTTGTCTGAGCTGGCTTTCCCCAGGACATTTAGAGAAATGTCTCCTATGTACCTTTTTTCCCTGTGTTCTCTGATTCCTTGTCCTACTGCAGTTGAACTCAATCTCCCCGTCTCCACCACAAGGAGAGTTTCTGGAGCCCCTCCACCGAGCTGTTTCACAGGCTCTAGTCCTCTTCGGAAAGGCTTTCCTGAACGGTGCTTGGTGTCTAGTGCAGTGGTCTCCAAACTTTTTTGATCACACACCCCTATTCGTAAAAAATTTTTGAGCATTCACCCCCTGACGCGCCGGCTCTACCATTTTTGCCGAAGCAAAAAAAATAATAAAAAGCCGCTCGGACTCCCGCCTGACGAAGAAAAAAAAAAGGCGCTCCTCCTGCCGCGCACCCCCAAGGATCTGCTTGCGCACCCCACTTTGGAGACCACTGGTTTAGTGTAATGGCAGCTTTCCCTAAGCACGTTTCAGGTGTCACTTCTAGCACAGTCTGAATTAATGTTACTGAGAAGCTCTTTTGAATATTTCCAGCTATGGTATTGTTTTGGTTTGTACCATCCTCCCCTGCCATCAGCTGCATTTGGGCTGTTAGTATTAGTGCTGGGGTTGAAGCAATAATCCTTCTTTTCCTCACTGTCGATTGCTCTTTGGTTGCACCAATGACATGAAAGTTTGGCATGCCCTTGTATATACACCTCTACCTCGATATAACGCTGTCCTCGGGAGCCAAAAAATCTTACCGCGTTATAGGTGAAATCGCATTATATTGAACTTGCTTTGATCCGCCGGACTGCGCAGCCCCGCCCCCCCCGGAGCACTGCTTTACCGCGTTATATCCGAATTCGTGTTATATCGGGTTGCGTTATATCGAGGTAGAGGTGTACATGCAAATATAAAGTGGAGGGTAGTAAGGGTTACACAGCAGATATAAACAAATTTTCACAACAGCCTTGTTCTTCACATCAAGCAAAGAAAGACAACTGTTGGGATTGGTATGATTTTCTACATGGCTCTCCTCCTCCTAACTTGAAGAAGCTGCTTGATTAAGGCCAAGAGAGCAGATCCAGATCACCTGCTCTTATGTTTCTATGCCACCAGTCCAGTCTATATAGGATTCTACAATTTGCTGTGGGTAAGCGAGGAAATCATTTTCTTAGAGCAAGAAGAGGAGGAAATATTTTATTTATTTTGTATTTTTAAGAGGGACAAAAGAAAACAAACAGGCAAGCAAATTAGGCAGGTTAAAGTTAAAGGCATTAGCGGAACAGCTCAAATGCAGAGAATGGCAGCATCTACAGTGAAAATATCAAAAGAACCAAGAAATTTTCTGCAATTTCAGCATGCTAGAATAAAACAGCAAATAATTCAAAAAATAATTCTCCTTGAATGTACTGTGGTCTTTACTTCATTCCTTTCATAGCAACTAAACTATGGATATTGGATTTGCTTTGGTACAATCACATAATTTTACACAATATTTTCTAGGTATGAAGCCATTGCCATAAAGGCTTGTACTTATTATATAGTAATAACAGTCTTAAACGTATGAATAGTCACCAAAGAGAGTTACTCACGTGGAAGAAACAGACTCAAGAAAAAAGACTGATTCATAAGCAAACCACAAAATCTATTAATAACTTCTACTGTCCTCATCCCCCACACATCCTCCACCCACCTAAACAAGATGCAGCGTAAATCTTTGAATACACTAATGTATTCCACACATGACAGAGTGGTGTGAGGTTTAGTTAATGTCTGTACAGTGCTCTGAACATGCAGCACACTTAGGGTGACCAGATGTCCCGATAAAATTGGGACTGTCCCGATATTTAACCCTTTGTCCTGCGTTCCGATCAATGTAAGATTGGGACGCCATTTGTCCTGATATTCAGGTAAGGAGGCGAGCGGGAGGGAGGCGCTGACTCCGTGGGTGCTCCAGGGTTGGAGCACCCACAGAGAAAAATTGCAGCCAAGCTCCTCCCTCCTCCTCCCCCCTGTCCCCCAGTGCGCCGCGTCCCCGCTCCTCCCCCTGTCCCTCCTGGAAAGTGCTAAGCAATGCCAAATAGCTGTTAGGAGGCGGGAAGCGCTGGGAGGGGGGAGGAGCGGGGACACGGCGCACTGGGGGGAGGGGGGAGAAGAGGCAGGGCAGGGGCGGGGACTTGGGGGAAGAGGGTGGAGTGAGGGCGGATGTTTGGGTGGGAAGAGGCAGGGGGTGGGTGAACACCCACCCGGCAGAGGGGAAGTCAGCACCGTAGGGGTGAATGGTGGGCGGGCAGGGTGTGTGTGTGAAGAGACGAGTGGCAGGCGGGGAGGGTGAAGAGGCGAGCAAGCACCTGGCGGGCGGGGTGAGGAGGCGAGCGGTGGGTGGGGGACTGAGGAGGAACGCAGCAAGCCAGCAGGGGGTTGGGGGATGAGGAAGGACGTGGGGGTGGCGGCGGCGAGGGGGCAGGACCTGGGGCAGAGTGGGGGGCGGAGCCTGGGAGGAGCAGGGGTGGACTGTGGGCGGGGCTGACGGCACCCCAATGTGTCCCGATATTTTAGTGTTGTGATCTGGTCACCCTAAGCACACTAAATATATAAATATTATTATTACGGTAAACAGTTCATGTGATTGCCTTCAAGACATGCATGTTTAGTACTCAGGGATTTCAGCTATAAAACTACCTCTCCCTTTGCAAGTCCCCATCTCAGATAAAAGTCGGATAGCACCATCCTCATCAAAGTGATCAATGGCTCCATGTCTAGTTGGCAGCCGGTTTCAAGCGGAGTGCCCCAAGGGTCAGTCCTGGGGCCGGTTTTGCTACACTCAGACTCCGTGCTTGCGAGAGGGGAAGTATTGCCTCCTAGAGGCGCCCGGGGGGTGGTATGTAATTGTCCCAGGTCACTGGGGGGGGTCTCGAGCCGGTTTTGCATTGCGTTATTGAAACGGAACCCCTAGATACTGAACCCGGCCCTTGTTGCTGCGAACTCAGAGGGGCAGAAGGGTTACATACACAAATGCAAGAAGCCTGGGAAACAAGCAGGGAGAACTGGAAGTCCTGGCACAGTCAAGGAACTATGATGCGATTGGAATAACATAGACTTGGTGGGATAACTCACATGACTGGAGTACTGTTATGGATGGATATAAACTGTTCAGGAAGGACAGGCAGGGCAGAAAAGGTGGGGGAGTTGCATTGTATGTAAGAGAGGAGTATGACTGCTCAGAGCTCCGGTATGAAACTGCAGAAAAACCTGAGAGTCTTTGGATTAAGTTTAAAAGTGTGGGGGGATTTGATAGCTGCTTTCAACTACCTGAAAGGGGGTTCCAAAGAGGATGGATCTAGACTGTTCTCAGTGGTAGCAGATGACAGAACAAGGAGCAATGGTCTCAAGTTGCAGTGGGGGAGGTTTAGGTTGGATATTAGGAAAAACTTTTTCACTAGGAGGGTGGTGAAGCACTGGAATGGGTTAACTAGGGAGGTGGTGGAATCTCCTTCCTTAGATGTTTTTAAGGTCAGGCTTGACAAAGCCCTGGCTGGGATGATTTAGTTGGGAATTGGTCCTGCTTTGAGCAGGGGGTTGGACTAGATGACTCCTGAGGTCCCTTCCAACCCTGAGATTCTCTGATTCTATGAACTAAATTAACTCTTTCTGGTTGGTACTATGACCCTGTCTACACTACAAAGTTTGTCAAGTGCAAATTATGTCAGCATACAGCTGCCAACTTTTCTATATTGCTCTGGCCCATGCAAACTTGGGTGTTTGTGTCAGTGCTGCGTATACACACCATGAGTGGTTGCATTGATGTAAAATGGGTGCACCACTGGTAG